AGTCGTGACTTACATCCCTGCATTAAGCCTTACCCCTGACTGCTCCCTCTCAGCCTCTAGCATTCTTAAAACAAGGTCAGAACCAGATGAAAACTCTTGGTGACAGTCCCATGTCAGTCCCCTCTATTGAGTGGCTGCCACTTTGCCTAGGAAGTCCCCATGCTGAGCCCATGGACCCCTTCCTTCATCTCTGGTTAGCTGCTTGGCAGTTAGGCTGGTGCCTGGTTGCCCCTGGGCACTGCCTGCAGAATATGCATGCTTGATGCTCATGGCCAACTCCCTCACCAGCCTGAGGTTCCTTTTCCTACTGTCTTACCAGAGTTGAGAAGCTTTACCCCATGCTGATCACTCCAGGCATCTCTGTGTCATGCTATGACACAGGGCATGCTGTGTCATTTGTCTGATGTTCCCTGTGCATCCTTCTTGTCCTTGTTTGAACATAGGTTTCAGGAAAGTAGCCATGTGTTTTTGTCTCCTGTTGTTTCTTGAGCACCGAGGACATCCTGTGCTTAGTGGAATCCAATAAATATGAGTCAGATAAGGGGGGTGTTTCTCTGGTTTTCTTATTAGCAAATACTTCTGAGGTATGTTAATATTACATTGGAGAGGGGCTAGAGAAATGGCGCTGTGATTACAGAGGACCCAGTGCTGTTCCCAGCACCTGTATGGGTGGCTCACAACCATCCAGACCCAGGGTATTTAATATCTCCCTTTGACTCCTAAGGGCACCAGGCACACACACACACCCCAAATTTAAACATTTTTTCAAATATTATATTGAAGAATGTTACATTTTCTCACATGTTGGTTTTATGTAAATATCCAATGAATAACTGACTCTGAGTTTATAACTCAATAAACTCTCCCCCCACTTTATTCTTTTGTTTTGTTTTTGTTTTTTTTTTTAGACAGGTTTTCTCTGTGTAGTCCTGGCTGCCCTGGAACTTGCTCTGTAGACCAAGCTGGCCTCAAATTCACAGAGATCTGCTTGCTTCTGCCTCCCACGTGCTGGGATTACAGGCGTGTACCAGCACACCTGGCTTAAAGTGTTTTTTAATTTACACCCAGCCTGTGTGATTATCAGGGAAGCTACTTCTGGCTCACTAGATTACTACATTCTGCAGCAGGTTTTTTTGATTTTCATGAATCAGACTACTGTTTTAATGTTCCTCTTAACTAATCCTAAAGATAGAAGAAATTGGAAGGCAAAAAAAGAAGAAAATGGTATGTACAGAGGGACATATATTCTATCTGGAGACTATGGGATGACTCAGTGTTAATTAACATGTGCTAACCACACCAGTGCCACCATAGCTCTCATTCTGTGTGCCTTGTTAAAGTGCTAGAGTCAAAAATCACACAAGGCCTAAGAAAGGCCTAAGATACACCAGCTATGGTCGGGGAGATTTCGCACTGGTTTGTACTATCTGATGAGATCCAAATGGCTGCTGTGAAGATGAGTGCACACAGTACCGGTTTTGCTCACTGTTACCTGGATGTCAAGCCTCTCTTCTTGAATACAACAAGTGACTCCATATAACTGAGTGGGGCGCAAGAGCCTTCCCAGTTCCTTATTACAGTAACCGAGGGTCGCTTACTTTCCTTTTAAGTGATTGTCTTCTCTGTGGTTTGGTGTTATCCCTGCAGTTGCTTTTGACTCCGTGGTGAGAGCTGTACACCTGATCTTGACTGTGGCTTTAGATGTCCAGTGGATATTCAAGCACAGGCAAGTGGCCACAGCTAGGACTTTTGTCCCAGTGACTTGAGACAAGAAACTATAAGGCCTGCCACCTAAGTTGGAGATCGTGTGACCAGATGTTTTCCAAAACAGGTCATCTGCTCCCAAGGTCAAGTATCCTGGAGGCACAGTAAAAAACACAGCAGCAGCAAAAGAGGAGTCCCCCAACCCCAGCTCAGAAACGTTTGAGCTGTGGCCAGCAATCTTCATAGCATCATTCCCACAGGCTCGTTCCTTAGAGCTGTGGGATAGTTCTAGATCACTCTGGTGTTGGTGTCCATGCCTGCGAGACTACCTGGGCCCTCTGTGGTGCCTCTAGGCATTTGTGCTGTCTTATTCCTGGCAGCCCCTCCCACTCATGCCGACTGACTGGCAGGAGGCCTAGTGAGGTGGCAGGCTGGACACACAGCCCTCTTGGACTAACACTGGAGACTTGTCAGTGTTGCTACCAAAACTAGTCCCTAATCTCTGAAAGGATTCCTTTGTTTCCTATATATGGGACAGCCTTAAAGGTGCTTCCCACATACCCAGTCTTTCCTTAGATGTACTGTTTGTACCCAGAGGAAGATTGTCTTCTGTTTCCAAGTGTCCAAGGCTCCAACAGCCCCAGGGAGTGTAAACACAGTATAAAAGGCATTAAGGCTGAATAATTGCTTGTACTTATTAGGCTTGGTTCTAACTGCTCTTGTCTACTAATAACCCCTCTTTATATCTATGGAGTGTCTACCTCCAGTCATGGATTAAAAATGTTTGGGAAAATTGCATCTGGGCTGACCATGTATAGACTTTTCCTTGCTATTTCTAAACAATAGAGTGTGACAAGTATTCATATAATATTTGCGTTGTACTGGGTATGAAAAGTACTCGTAAGGCGACATAAAGTCTGTGGGAAGACAAGTGCACAGGTTATGCAGATACCGTGCCACTTAGATCAGGGACCTGAACATCTACAGATTCTGGTATGGGGGCATGTGTCTTGGATCAATCCCCTAAAGATACTGGATACAGTAGCCCTAGAATGATGGGTAAGAGTCCTGAGAGGTGGGAGTTTCATGGGTGGGAAGAGGCTATGCTGAAGCCAGAGCCCAGGTAAGTGGGTTCCAGACTGGGTTCCCCTGTCACTGACACTAAAACATGTGCTAACGTGGTTTGTACAGGACCTAATCAGGAAAGGAAAGTGTGATAAGGGGGCTCTCTGCCAACCTACCTAGGCTTAGGAGAATCAGCTCTGTGGCAACCCCTGTTGGTCTGATCCCCAGCAGGCCAGGGAGTAGGAACAGTGCGGCTTCTGCCTGCATCAGCTGATTACTACAGCTCCCTCTCAGGAGCTGAGCTCTGTACCCTCCAGTGTCTGAGCTTCCCCTGAAAGCAGGCTCCTCTCCTCTGCTGCCCATCTCAAGCCTGTCCTGAGAGCCTGCATCCCTTCTTCTCTGCCAGCCTTCCAGCATTCCTTTTCTCTGCTTTACAGCTATGACTGCCACCAGCCGTCTCTTTTCATCCTACCCTCTGCCATTCCACTGTAGGATATAAATGTGGATTCTGTGTGGCTCTCAGGACAAGTTCTAAAGTGTTGCTTCAGCTGGAAGAGCCCTTTCAAATCAGGCCCTGCTTGCCATCCATGATACTAACTCACTGTTGTGCCACCACAGAACACCGCAGTTTCAGCCTCCCCTTCCCAAGGGCTCTTGGTTCTTGCCTTTCTTAGCAGATACTTCCAGCCTCCCCTCATCTTATATGTGTCTTCTGAGGCCTTCCTGCCTGCTATGTTGAAAGTGTGGATCATGCATAAGCTAAGACTTCGCCATGCATGTTTATGAGCTGTTCTTATCTGCCAGCATTGGGGGTATCTCCAAGACAGCTGCTGCCTCCCTGGGCCTATTGTCTGTAGCACTCATCCCTGGCCTGTGCCTGATGTAGCAGGGCGGAGATTTGAGATAAGAGTACAGTGAGACCATCATATCTTGCCTAGATTTTTAAAACACTTCAATGTACTACTGATACAGTGTTTCTGTTCTCTGACAAATACGCCTTTAGAATGGAAAGAACATGTGGAAAGATGGATTTTTGTGACTGAAAGTTGGCAAAATAATAGAGATGCCTGAATGGAGTTGTAACCACATGTGTCTGGGTATTCTGTGGTAAGCTCACTCATGTTAGAATGAATAGAGGATCAAGATAGGATGTTTTCTTGATAGTAGTAACCTAAAGAAGTGTTGGCAGCTAGGTCGTAGCCTACTTATAGATTTTAAGAAAGTTTTAAAAGATAAAAACAGAACAAAAAAAAAGTGCAGCAGAGACATATAGCCATGAGATCTTACTTCTGGCCCTTTACAGAAGAAGCATGTAGAATCGGATTAAAAAAATAAAACATGTAATTGAAAGTATACAAAATTTGCCCATATTTCTTGCTGACTAGAGTACTGTCCTAGGCTAGGCTGGCCCTGTGTGTTAGTCCGCTAAGCATCATGGGAAACACAAAGGGGCTAGTGTCTAACCCAGTCCTTCAGCACCCATCATCAGTGCTCATGCTCTACACTCTTGAAGGAACCAAGTCAGCACTGGTCCCAAACACATGAACGAAGAGGAGAGGGGACACCTGGGAGACTGTGTGTTGAGGTGGTCTTGTCCCGAGGACTTTCTTGGGCCGGCCTCACCACTCACTGTCATGTTCATGACTTCTCTCACCTCCCTGTTCACCTTGTCTGCATTGTGCTTTGCCTTAGCCCATTTTTCTCCTGCTCTTTTATTTCACAGACTCTCCTTTATTGGTGCTTTTATTCATAATTGTAGGAATTTTTGTTGAAACAGAACTTTGATGTTTGTTACAGGAAGTGACTGTTTTCCCAGAAAGGTCTGTAGCTACTGCACTTCTCTCCTTTCTACCCAGTGCTTTGTGCTGGAATTGGGGGGGTTAACTGTCACATGTCACTTTCTGGGTGGTGTGTGAGGAAATCATTGTGCGTTTGGGTCCCATTCAGCCCAGTTCTGCTGAATTCTGAGGCTTGGTGAATTAGCCTGAGACAGAGGAGCAGTCAGTCATTCGTATCCTGCCGGCAGGGGTGGCTGTCGCCTCAGCCTCAGCTCTGCACATTGAAATGATCCTCCGTGTTATTGCTGAGTGACCAAGGGACGCAGAATGAGCTTGGGACTAGCAGGGACTGGCAGCCACTCATCAGTCCATATGGCATCGCCGGGCTTGGGGACTTTGACCACAGGCGCCTTCTTCAGCATCGTGGGGCGTCGGTATAAAAGGAGGCGCAAGAAGCGCTCTGAGAGGAAAGGTAATTACTCGGACATATAGGTGGAGTTTGCATGCCACACAGGAGCGTCTTCTGGGGTGGGCTGCCTTGTGGCTCAACCTTGCTGCTGCCGCTGCGTCTCGGCTTCACTGTTGATTTTAATGCCTCTCTTTGGCTGATACTTTATGGAATTTGGTAGGGCATGCTGACAAAGGAAGCTTTGAAAATGTGTTTGTAAGTGTGAGCAGAGGTCCTTTTAGCTTCTGTCTGTAGGGTGCTTTTGGAAAGATGTTTGTGAAGCTGTGGAAGTTTGAAGCTTTAGCATTACAAGACTTTTCTCTAGAGATGATTCATAATGACTGCCTTTTGCTGCCGCTCTTCATTAGTGCCTTTTTTGCCCTAAATTTGCTTATTTTACCGGGAGGACAAGACTGTAGCTGTCACTGTGGAAATATTTTCCTTCTGCAGAAGCAGAGGATAAATCCCCCACAATCAGCACCTGGCTTATTTCCATACCTAATTCCACTCAGTGTTTTAAGAAATTAAAATCCATAGTGTTTTTTTTTAAAGATTCAAAAGTTGTCTATTACTGTAAAAATTACAATCCATTGGCTTTTGGAGGGAAAACCTTCCACAAAAGCTATCAACAGTTACTGTCTTTCGTGTAATTGGAAATATTAGGAAATGTCCCAGTGAAACAATGCTTCTAGCCTGAAACAGCTGGCTGTGCTACGAGGCTCACTGCCCCTGCCTCTGCTTTCCTAGACACTGCCTCAGTGCTACCACCCCACAGGACTAGGGCATGGTGGTAATTCCTCAGGAAATCAAATGAGCTCTAGTTTTTAAAGGATGAAGATGAAATTAATTTCAGAGCCAGCAGTCTTTGTAGTTTGCCCAGTGTAGTGAAGACTGGCATACTTAATAGAATGTTGGGGGTAGGAACACATCATGGTCCCTACATGCTTGTAGGCGCTGTACCTGTGCCCTTGAGGGCACGTGATGTTTTTACTATTATGTGTATAGAACCAAGAGAGGCTCAAAAAAGCCCATTTAATTACCCACTCACTCTCATCTTGGAAGAGTCCAATCCTGCTAGTCTTTGTATCTTCAGTTAAGTTTTAAAAGATTGGAAGTCATAGTGCCAGTCAGAAACACGAAAGCAAAACTGTGGAGGCATTGATCCAATAGCCCAGTTTAGAAATGCCACTTGTTCTGCAGACCCTCAGCACAAGCCACCTAGCTGGGAGAATGTTGGGACATCCAAGCCTTATTCTGACCTCATTCTTTGGACTCACTGCAGTCCCAGCTCAGGGCACCCTCCTTAAGTCTTCTGGAGCTGTGTCCGCTGCAGGAAAAGCTCTGCTGTGAGGCTGCCTTCTTCAGGCTAGCATCTTAAAGAGCAGAGTATCACATGGTAGCAGCGAGGCCTGTACAGTATGGGACTTTGCTCTTGGCCATGCTTCTAAATAAGCTCATTGTCAGTTACTGAACAGCGTGACTGTGTCTGGTGGCACTTACTCTTGGTGGTTTATAATATGTCTTTGAAACTAGCAGAAACCCCTCTAAAACAATGGAGGCTGTTAAGATGATATATCCAATTACACCAAAGTTATTTAAGATGGAAAGTGTGAGCTTTTGAAATACCTTTCAGAGCATGTGTAAAGTATTCTGCTTTTTCTAAGACTGGGATAATGCATACCTTTTAAAATTTAGTTCTGTGTTGAAACTGTAGTGGTAAGCTGCTTGTTGAACTGTGACAACAATACAATTTCAGTGACTTTTCCCTCTCTCCTGCATTTCCCAAGTGGCTGCTGTGCCTGCCCCCACCCCCACAGGACAAACATTGGTTAGCTTGTGTGCAGCTTTGGAGGGTCCACCAACACAGCAGAAAGTCCTGTGGGAAGGAAAGCTGTTTAGTCTTGGTGTTGACCAGGCAAATGATGCTGGCTAAGGCCTGAGAGGAGTCTTTGGCGTAGTCAGACTGTGAGGCACATTAGAGCCTATTCAGGGGTCAGTCCCCAGCTACCATGTAAGGTGACTGGTGGGGTGAGCTGAAATTCAGAAGTGCTCCTTAGCTGTGTTTACCACCACCACCACCACCACCACCACCACCACCACCACCACCACCACCACCACCACCACCACCACCACCATCACCACCATATTGTATGAGTAAGGTCCCATGTCTGTGCCCAGTCCTTCTGCTTTCCCATTGAATCCTTTGTTTGTCCCAAATGTGAGAGCATCTTTAGTCTGTTCCCACTTCTTCTGCACATGTATGAAGAATGTTGTCAGGTGCTTTGATCATAGGCTACCCTCCTCTGCTTTGTTTCTGGGGTGGAAAGTTGGGGTTTTGCATGTTGTGGAAATGAGGCTCTAGCTCAGTAGAGACATGAACTCTGAGTCCTGTTGGAAAATAACCCTGAGACTCAGAGCAATCTTCCCTGCTCGGTGTGAAGAGGACAGCTGGTCATGGTGATCCGAAGCTTCTGTCATGAAGTTAGTCTCAGCTCTAGTCTGTGCACAGGGTTCTTTGAGAGATGAAGAAAGAACAAGGCAAGTGTTGGGATGTAGGATGGAGTGGCACTGACCCATCTGCACATCTACCCACCTGTCTAACAAGTACTCATTGGGAACTTCTGCATGCTGGCGTCAGAGGTTTGGACATTCACAGCACAGATGTAGAAACAGGACTTCAATAGTATGAGTGCTGGTCCTGACTCTCAGGCATGGGGTTTGCTCTGGAATGGACCATATGAACTTGTTGTGTGACTAGGGAGGTGGTTTCTGTGATTTGTAGCTGCTACGCTGTTTGTACAGGTGGGAAGGACATTCCCTAGGCTCTAGTGACAGTAGAAGACACGTAATCTGTGATATCAGCTATGAGAGGGCCTCAAGTGTAGAAAGTCGCCACTGACCCCCTTCAAACAGCACCACTTGTGGGTAGATAGCTCAGGTTTTCTAGCATGTGCTGTGGTAAATATGGAGTATGTCTCATTGCATTTATGCTGATGGCACAAATGAGGACCTTGATGCCCGGGCAAGAGGTCCTCTCAGAGAGGACGCATTCCATGGCAGCAGCACATTCCAGTTGAGCAGCTGAAGTCCTGAATCACACTTGGAATGTTAGAGAAATTGGATCCAAGATAAATCTCAGCAATGCCAGTTCCCAGTGTAAACGTTAATATTGAAAATACAGTTTTAGAAACATTTTCAGTGGCTTTGCTCCATTTAGTTGTGCCAGTGGGAAGGAAAACTAATTAAATATAAGCAGAATATTCTAGATTTTATATATCCAATATTCATACTTGCTAAGATTTTTCTGGAGACAGCTTTAACTTATTATGGGGTCTTAAACTACATATTAAGTATTTTATACTCTATTTCATCATTTGGTTATAGTAAATGTTCTTCCTAGAGTTAATGGTCTGGATTTGGTTTCCTCAATTAATTCATAGATGGAACTCTGGCTTATTACCCCATTTTGGTCATTATGTTCTTAAATAGAAGCTCCATGTTACATATGTGTCTGGAAGATAGCCAAAAACAAGTTGAACTGTGACTTGAATGTATTTATTTATGGATTATTTTAATTTTCCTGAGATTAAACAGCCAGACTTTAGGGATCTTCAGGTCATATGGCAGGCATAGCCAGGCTGTGTCTGCTAACCATGGTTAGCACCGTCCAGGATTCTATCACTGTCAGTCTCCTGACTCACCAAGAACAGTCACAGACCAAGGACATGAAGAACCATGATGGTACGCTCTGTATTGGCCTGGCTTCTTGCTGGAATTTGTTTAGAATTGACAGGAACACGCACTGTATACAGGCCATAGCACTGCTAAATGACAAGGACCCACTCAGTGTGGCCTTCACTGCCCCTTTGAGGAAGGTATGTCACTGCTCAAGCTAGGTCAGAGGGCCCGCGGGCCTTAGCAAGACTCAACCCAACTGTTCTCCAGCATCACCACCAACTGCCATCCTGTATAACTCAGGCTGTTAGTGGTATCTGGTGGAGAGGGACCTGAGCAGAGAATTTATGTCCCTCAGCAAAGGAGAGTAAAAGTAAAAGTGGAACACACTGCTTAATCTTGACTGTGTCAAGCAACTGCCTTTCCCATTGATCCTTTCACCTTATAAACCCTTCCAGATCAAGGACCTCAGTTTGCAGCCATACATTGTCAAGTATAGACTCAGTGCAAAGGAAGCAGATGTGGCTGATGTGGTCCTCTAAGGCACCTTGGTTCTGTGAGCATAGATGTGATCAGGAATGGGGGCACTCTGATTAGATCCCCACCTTTGTATACCTTGGGAAATACTTTGCTATGTCCTGCAGAACCAGAGGCCAAAAGCTCTGAGCACTTCGTGGGGTTTATAGGCTCTTGTCAGGGCAGGTGCTACAGAGGAGCCCAGCTATCTGGGAAGATCTGGGTCACCCAGAGGAGATGCTGGCTCTGGGCTTTTGAGGCCATCAGTACCTCCAGTTCCATCTTGACAAGGAGCCTGTGTGGCACTTCCTGGGGAGGGAAGTCATGCGTATAGATGATTTGCTGAATAAAGAGGAACTGGTGGAACATGGGGACTCTAGTCCTCACCATGGTTACCCATACTTGCCCTGTCTGTATGGGGCCATTGACTCTGCTGCTTCCTGACAGTCTTGGTAAACTCAGCCGGTGCTCAGCCACACAGCCCCAGTTATGTGTATCTCAACACAGTAGATGTGTGTTTACTTCGCCACAGTGGCTAGTCCACAAGTGAACAAATTGCTGTCCAGTTGGCACATTTCAGCAAAAATTTCAAAATAGAAATAATCGGTGGAAGTGCATGTTTTTCTCTTTTGGTAAAAAATGGTGTGTGGCCGTTTTAATGACTAGCCAATACTAGAAACAGCAAGCACCATCCAATATTCAGCTAGCATCCCAGGAGTTCCTTGGCCCTCCTGGCACTCTATGGGTTACTTTGAGGAAATAACTGGAGCAGTCACATGACAGTGTGAAGAGTTGGGGATCATGACTGTGGCTGTGTGTGCAGGCTAGAAATG